TGCCGACTCCGGGACCAGTGGGAGGGCGCCTTCTGTCATACACTGAAAATTGAAAGCAGGTTACGCCCGACTGCTGAATTCTAGGTGTTGTGGCTCACGGATACAAACTGCTCTTCAAGAAACATCCTATCTTGAAGACTCAAGCCGTCGGATGCAGATTTCATCTAGTTGGAGCCAAGCTAGCGGCAGCAGATCTGGCCGTCAGAAAGCTACTAAAGAAGCGAGCCATTCAGAGACTAGCGGAGACCAAGAACACCAAGGGTTTTTATTCTCGGGTATTCTTAGTCCCGAAGAAAAATACAACCAACATGAGGATGATAATCGACCTAAAGACCCTCAACAAAAAAATCCTGGTACCTCTGCCAAAATTCCAGATGGAATCCGTACAGAAGTTATGGTCGACGTTGAAGACAAGAGACTGGCTCATCAGCCTCGATTTACAAGATGCCTATCTTCACGTCCCGATACACCCATCATCACGCAAATATCTACGCTTCGCCATCAATGGTCGACGTTACCAGTTCTTACCAGGTCCAGGTCTTACCATACTGGATATCAATAGCATGGCTAAAGCTACCTTACTTTAAAAATCCAGGAAAGCTTCCTTCCTTCTAGCCATGGCGGCAGCAGCAAGAGTTTCAGAACATCATGCCTTGGACTATTCTAGTCTCATCCATGATCAACATTTGACCTCAATAACTCTAAAATCGCTCCGAGACTTCGTAGCCAAGAATCAATCTACCACAATGGGGCCGTTGGGCCATAGACACTATACCACCTGGCTTTGGGACCAACAATGGATCACCCAGAGAGACTCTTATGTCCCATCAGAGCTCTCAAGTTCTATCTCGCCTTCGAAGGAGACTCTTTTTATCTTGCAAGACTCATTCGAACAAGGACATCACCAAAGCTACAGTAGCGGGCTGGCTAAAAGCTACCGATGCAGCAAGTTATACCCAAGCTCAGAATTCCACGCCACGTCTCGGATCCTGCTCAGCTCATGAATCAGAGCCCTAGCCACGAGTCTCGCTTCATGGACATCAGTCTCAGTAGAACAAGTAGTTTCTAGCTGTCAGTGGGCCTCACAAAACACCTTCACCAGTTTTTACTTGCGTGACATCCAACCGGACCTAGAGGGCATATGTTGGTCCCATTGTCGCGGTGCAAACTATTATCCACCAATAGTTTTCCCCCTTCTATCGAAAAAAAAGGGGGGGGGAGGATCCGACACCAGCAGCATCAGAGGGTGAGTACACCCTTGTTTATCCTGTCTCTTAGGTGTAGGACGGATTAGAAGCACCTTGATTATCAACTGCCTTCAGTGGGCCGGAAGTGACAACAGCACCGGTATTCGTGTCACAAATCCAAATTTAACAAGAAATGACGTCATTAAGCAGGAATAGATTAGAAATGACATCATAATTACGAACAAGATCAACAAATATAACAGTAATTCTAGTGAAGGTGTCATATATTTGACTGATTCTTGATACATTTCTGATTTTAAAGTCCTCAGGGGGGTATTTCAGAGGAAATTATCTCGAGTTACGATTAGAATCAGTAAATAATGGTTTCCAGAAGAGGATTACTGTCAATTACACAGGGAGTTACCAGAGGCAGACTTGGTCCCTCTGAGATATTCTGGCAGAGATCTAGTAGAGGTAGAGATTAACAACACCTTAAGTGTGTTTAAGGGGCTGAGTGTGAATATGCCAAGAGGAAAGTTTTTTCTATTGATTAGGTTTATCATGTTAATTTGTTCAGGAGCTCTCATGCTTCTCTGTGGTCCAGAGGATATAGATGTAGACTTGATTTCCAGAAAGGTTACTGGTTTTGAGTTCAAACCCAGGTTTCAGCAATGAGGTTTTTGTATAATCTGAAATATATATTGAAGCCTCAGTTTCACTTCTTCCTGTCATGTGATCAGGTGTGAGCACACAATCTCCATGCATTATATGTACATGTGCTGTGTGATCCTCCATGTTGCCTGCCGATTGTCACAGTCTGTATGAAAGTATGTTGGAGCACAAATGTAAGTTTTCTTTTTGTCTTTCTGACATTTTGTGATGATAGGTAAATGCATTTATATGCTATTGTACTTCTTGAGTTGAAAAAGTGAAATTAATGCATACATTTTAAGAAATGTCAAAAACATGTTTTTTGAAAATTAAGGTCTAAATGTCACAAACTAAATTTCTTCTACTTTGTATTGCAGTTTTCTAAAACTCGTCACCTCGTCACTTCGTCACTGGAGGCATCATTTCAACGTTAACAGTTTGTGATGCAAACGAAACTTTCAGTGTGAACGTTTAACGATATGACACTAACAATAAATTCCCTGTGATGCGAGCATTTCAGAGTTTTTGTGTTCTTGCATCTACAGTTATCATTGTTAATAATTCTAAGAATACTACCTCTATTACATCCCAAGTACTCCCTCCCACCTCCCCAAATCATCTACCTCTAGTAGTTAGTTGTGGGAAAAAAGTGAGGTTCCCGCCATTCCATACGTCATAGCTTGGGAACAATTAATTGTGTGTGATTGATGGTGAAGAGGACATCTGTTGAAAATCTAAAATTTTTTACCATATATGACCGCGGATAAGCCGACCCCGTAGATAAGCCGAGGTGCTAACCTGACCATTGAAATACAAGAGAAAATGATATGACCCGCAGATAAGCCGAACCAGGAAGTGAAAGGCAAAAAACACTGCGAAGTCTGACTGCAAGACATGTGTCGGTACTCGCAAAATATATAAGAAAATATAAGATGAAAAACGTTGTAATTATATTGAAAAAGTCATTATTATTTCAAATAAAGAATTAACAAACCAGTCATCCACTTTCATAATGTGGGAAGCTGTTTCTCTTGGGGTTTTTTAATCTCATAATGATCGTTATATGTTGCCATCAACAACGAAGCGCCATTTTGTGAATCGGTGTATATAGAATTATGAACCCGTGAAAAAATATATCAGCTAGAGCGAAGACTCGCAGTTTGAATTCAGCATCGTAAGCATGGCGTTTTCGTTTCAAACTCGTGATGAGATTGTCAGTCAGTAAAAATATACCAACTTTTATAACCCCCTTTACACCACTATTCTATGTTAATCCAAATGAATTAAATAAACTATCATACTATGAACACATTGAATGACCATCACTTACTCACAGGCTTCTCCAGTTTATTAAACTAATCTCTCGAAAACAAAAGAAATTAAGCCCCTACTCCCAACACGATCGCTAAGCAACCACAATTTGAAAATGTTTGTGTAAACAACATGACAATACCAATCGGCCCGTTATTATTAGTGCTCATTTCCTTGTGTACCGTGTTGCTTTTTAAACAACTGGAAGCAATCACAGTGGTCACCGTTTGTGACGTCACAGGAAACAGCTGATCACATGTTTTTGCAAATGGCGAACGGAATAACTCGCCGATACAGTTGTTTATTTGCCTCTTTCAATAAAGGTAGACATTTGTTCACTATCAATTTATGAACTTTGCAAAACGTACGTGATAGCTATTGGCGATTTCATCTGGGGATTATATATTATTGCTGTGAATTACATATATTGTTACATGTAAAGATCGTGGAGTTTATGAGGAACGATAAACTTTGAACATTCAATTGAAAACTTATTATCGGAAGTAGTAACATGCATAACATTTTTTTAATAATGACATCATTGGTGTATGATAATAACATTATTGATAATTTAACAATAATGGCTCTAGTCGTGGCAACTTCCAAACTTTCGGGAAGTTGTAATCTATCGGACCGTCATTCAGGCGATGTTTCTGAGAGATCACGATCGGAAAAATACTATCATGAAAGTGTATCCCGTGGATAAGCCGACCCCTTTCTACAGAATCTTTTTTCTGGTCCTCAAAATTCGGCTTATACGCGGTCATATACGGTAGTTAGTGTGACTGAAGACAAAATACAGGATTTATGGCAGAGATGTAATAGTATTCTTAGAATTATTAACAATGATAACTATTGTTCGATTTCTATCACAACATCATAAAGTGGCGAGTGCAAGTTGGAATCTCCAGGAATGACGTCATGAATGAACACTGGATCAGTGATGATTTAGAGTGAAACTTCATTTTAACATGGGTAAATATTTTTAAAGCTTAAAATGTTATTAACATTTTTAGACTGGCTCAAAAGAATGTTTGCATCTCATATAGAGATAATAAATGACTCATGGTCGTTGTTTATAAGAATGGTGATTTAAGTGTCATCCTCATTTAATTATAGGTTAATATCCTTGCATGTAGAGTGCTTCCAAAATATGTTAGCATCTTCATATGAAATAAGTTTATCATTCAGTAAAAAAATGGGGTTTTATTTTCTCCCTGCAGTGTTTTATAGAAGGATAAACAACTCCCTCTAATCATTTAAAACAAATATATAATTATAAAATATATTATGTAATATTTATGTGACATGATCTTAATTTAATGCAATCATAATTTCTGAAAAGACCGACAATTCTGGATGGGAAGGAGCATGGGAGAATTTCTGCCTGAAAGACAGCAAACGGTCGGCTTCCATACTGTACGGGTAACAGAAAGAAGTTACAGATTATGACAAATCTCCTGCCAGTTACTTTGATTTGGATGTGGTTGTTTATAAACTGTTGACTATGAGTGAAGTTGAAAAGATACGATAACAATCTATGACAACGCATCTTCATACTCTGAATTGAGTGGGGTTTCCATCATGGGTATGTATTATATAACATGAAAAGAAAACTCAAAGGGTTGGTTGGTGTTTCAACAAATCTATATAAAATAACAAATCCAAGGCAGTTAACCAAACAACTGGTGAACGGTCACTTGACTAGAAGAATTTGACAGTTGTTTCAGCCTTAATTGCTAGTCTAAATGAACCGGTAATATTTATGGAACACTTCAAAACAAAATAATGTAATAATTTAGAGGTTTCACAAGATGATGTAGATTATGACAGTACTAGTAATATACATACATTAAATGTCTTCCCATCAGGTCTTGTGAGACGAGAAAATATTCCATAGCCATACTGTGAACTGATAGGTTTCTTCATCATGGTACTGCCATCAAACTCTGAAACAGGTCATTTGGAAAGATAAAGTCTTGTATTGACAGAAGTTGATACGGCACAGATAGATATGAGTATGGTTTACAACTTCCTGGTTTACCCCAGAAAAGGGGGTGCTTACTGATACCATGCAAAATTTTAAATTTGATGCCAGAGATCAAACTGGAGAGAACAAACTTAGGTCAAATGCAGGTGTAACCAAACAATTTGTGACAAACGGTTACACATAGTCATTTACAACTTAGAGGGGCACTGATCTCCAACTATTCACCAGTGCTGATTTTTGCCTTTGTTATTGTTTTTTTCCCCTGGATACCCGGATGATATCCCAGAAATCTTGGCTAGTTCGCAACCTGTGCTGCGCTAACCGTAGGTGCATTTGTCACTTTTATTGCTAGTATAAGGGTGTATCGGTCACATTGATCAACAAACAACAGCTTTGTTTTGGGATTAAAAAGGAAATGTATGTATCTTTTGGGGTAGCATCGGTAATGGTGATGAAGTTTTGATAAGTCACTTGCTATGTATTGTGAGATTTTCGTTTACACTATTTTGAGTTGTAACACAAACTAAAGATCTTATCTGAGCATTGCTTATTTTATCGTGTGTACATGTTATAGTCAAAGTGTAAAATGGCTAAAATTTTCAATTAGGCAATTTATTTATTTACTGAAAACGAAAGTAATAATAATAATAATAATAATAATAATAATAATGTATGCATTTGTATAGTGCAGCATTCACTGTGCATAAGTGCTCTGTGCGCTAAAGTCAAAGTATATTTCTATATTTTTATGCTTCTGATCCCAGTATAATATGTCTATTGTGATTTATAAAGTCTTTTGGAACTTCTTAAATGAATTTAGTCAATCTGATAAATAAGTGAACAGAATTTTCAGCCAACTTGTAAAATGACTCCAAAATATTTAAACATTTTGTAAATTGCCTAAGTGAATCACATTTTACACATTGACCGTAACATATTGTTACATGCCAATTCCCAAATTGAAACAATATTTTAACCTAGAAATCTCTACATAAAAGAATTTAGTGCACAACCAACAAACAACAAACAAATGGAAAACAATCAACAATTGAATTGCAAATTTTACTAAGTTTACAAATCAATACAAATTACTGCACAGCAACTACAATGGCAGTACTCAATAGAGTGGTAGTACAATATGCAATGGTAGCATATAATGTGAGAGCAGTGGAAATGCCAATTACAAGAATAATTAAAGCTGCAAGCAGCAATGGCGGGCTCCAAGTTACACTGTGCACAAATGTCCATGTTCGAATCCTTAAAGGGTTTCCTTGTACCAAATCCGTCACATGTAGGCACAACTTGCAGGGTATTGCCGCTACGAAATTGGCGTGTGCTAAGTCTGTTTTAAACCCATTTCCGACATCAAACATATTCGAATCCTCAAAGGGTTTGTTTGTACCAACTCTGTCAAAAGATAGTCACCATTTGAAGGACATTGGCGTGTTCCAGGGGTGTCCCAAATTCTAATCAAATATTACCACCAAGTGTTGTTACTTTTTCCATGCACCCAAGAACAGAAAATAAGATGCATATGATACCTAACTTCATGTAAAGTTGCAATAGTTTCTGTCAACAAGCTAACAAGATATGATCTTTAAAGTAAAATTTCGGTAATTTTTTTTATCAAAATCAAAATCCAATACAACCGCAACTAAAACAGATATCCCAAAACGGCTATGAGAGTTTGCTGTGTTGTGTGTGGAGACAATTCTCAGAAAATTTGAAAGCATTTCATGCAGTGGACTCGGAGTTGTTTGCGTTTGAAGACAGGTACCCAAAAGACACTGTGAAAACCTTGAATCCAATATGGCTGCCAAACCATTTGACCAATGACCAAAGTCAAAGAACAAAATATGTCAAGCAGCTCAAGCAGCAGATACATGCAAGTTTTCAAAGTAATCTGATAAGCGGTTGCGGAGCAATAGGGCGAAATACATCTTTAAAAACGTCTTGATTTTTAGTTATCTGCCCTTGGCTTTTGGGCCTACGGCCTTGGGTTTTTGGCGGGCACTAGTACCCAACAGTCTTCATACACATACAAAATTTGAACAAAATCGAGCCAGTGGTTATTTTGCTAGCTCTGGTACAAAAATCGGCGGAATAATAATAATATTAAATCAAACGATAACACTGGGGCTCTTCAGCCTTTCGGCTTGGGGACTCTTTAACAGGCTGTAACTTCTTTGTCAGTTGGGCTCCAGTCAAACGGATTAGCGTTCTGCGTTCGTCCGGACCCCGGGTTCCTGTCGCATTGCTGAGATAAAGTGCTAAACTTGTTTCCGACATCGTTCATATTCGAATCCTCAAAGAGTTTACCTGTACCAACGCCGTCAAATGTAAGGAACCTCTTGTGAGACATCACCACTACTAAATTGACATGTGCTTGGGTGTCCCAGGATGTTTTAACCAATTTCCAACTTCGACCATGTTCGAATCCTCAAATGGTTTGCTTGTACCAACGCCATCATATGTAAGGAACCGCTTGCGAGACATCACCACACGTGTCCTAGTGTGTTCTTAACCGATGTTTGACTTCGACCATGTTCGAATCCGCATATGGTTTGCTTGTACCAACGCCATCAAATGTAATGAACCGCTGGTGAGACATCACCACACGTGTCCCAGTGTGTTCTTAACCCACGTTTGACTTCGACCATGTTCGAATCCCCAAATGGTTTGGTTGTACCAACGCCGTTAAATGTAATAAACCGCTTGTGAGACATCATGCCATGTGTCCCAGTGTATTCTTAACCCATGTTTGACTTCGACCATGTTCGAATCCCGAAATGGTTTGCTTGTACCAACGCCGTTAAATGTAATAAACCGCTTGTGAGACATCATGACATGTGTCCCAGTGTATTCTTAACCAACGTTTGACTTCGACCATGTTCGAATCCGCACATGGTTTGCTTGTACCAACTCCATCAAAAGATAGTCCACGTTTGCAGGCCATTGCCGCTACCAAATTGGCGTGTGCCACAGTTTCCCAGAGTGGACTAAATGCCGACCTCCATATTCTAATCCGCAAATGGTTTGCAAATGGTTTGCTTTTAACAACGCTGTCAAAAAAAAGGTACCGTAGCAATTGGCAATTGAGAAATGAAGAATCAAGTCAGCGAGTCTGATCACCCAATCCGATTAGTCGCCACCTGTGACAAGCATAGTTGCCTCTTGAGACAAGCATCGTTTGAAAAAGGCCAATTCTAACTCTGGTCGTCAAGGGTAGTACACATAATATTGAACAAGGCTGTGGAGAACGCTAGGGTATCTGCAAAGCCAGTGAATGGGGGTTTATAGTAGATTTATGAGGCGCTTCCATCAGTATTTGTACTTGGGTGAAATTTTTTATCAAAATCAAAATCCAATATGACCGCAACTAAAAAAGATATAAAAAAACGGCTATGCTAATTTGTTGTGTTCTGTATGGAGACAATTCTCAAAAAGTTTGAAATCATTTCATGCAGCGGATTCAGAGGAGATAGTATTTGAAGACAGGTGCCCATAAAACCCTGTGAAAACCTTGAATCCAATATGGCTGCCAAACCACGTGATCAATGACCAAAGTCAAAGAACAAAAAATATCAAGCAACTGAAGCAGTAGATACATGCAAGGTTTGAAAGTAAACGGGCAAACGGTTGTAGAGCAACAGGGCAAAATATATCGTCAAAAAATACTTGTTTTTCAGTTATCTGCCCTTGGCCTTTAGGCCTACGGCCTTGGCTTTCTGGCGGGCACTAGTACCCAACGGTCTACAAACACCCACAAAATTTGAACAAAATCGAGCTGGTGGTTATTTTGCTAGGGCAGGTACAAAAATCGGCGGAATAATAAATAATAATAATAATAATAAATAATAATAATAATAATTAAAGCTGCAAGCAGCAATGGCGGGCTCCAAGTTACACTGTGCACACACGTCGATGTTCGAATCCTTAAAGGGTTCCTTGTACCAAATCCGTCACAAGTAGGCACAACTTGCAGGGTATTGCCGCTACGAAATTGGCGTGTGCTAAGTCTGTTTTAAACCCATTTCCGTCATCAAACATGTTCGAATCCGCAAAGGGTTTGTTTGTACCAACTCTGTCAAAAGATAGTCACCGTTTGCAGGACATTGGCGTGTTCCAGGGGTGTCCCAAATTCTAATCAAATATTACCACCAAGTGTTGTTACTTTTTCCATGCACCCAAGAACAGAAAATAAGATGCATATGATACACTAACTTCATGTAAACTTGCAATAGTTTCTGTCAACACGCTAACAAGATATGATCGTTAAAGTAAAATTTCGGTATTTTTTTTTATCAAAATCAAAATCCAATACAACCGCAACTAAAACAGATATCCAAAAACGGCTATGAGAGTTTGCTGTGTTGTGTGTGGAGACAATTCTCAGAAAGTTTGGAAGCATTTCATGCAGTGGATTCAGAGGAGATAGAATTTCAAGACAGGTACCCAAAAGACACTGTGAAAACCCTGAATCCAATATGGCTGCCAAACCATGTGACCAATGACCAAAGTCAAAGAACAAACAATGTCAAGCAGCTCAAGCAGCAGATACATGCAAGTTTTCAAAGTAATCGGATAAGCGGTTGCGGAGCAATAGGGCGAAATACATTTTTTTTTAAATTCTTGTCTTTTAGTTATCTGCCCTTGGCCTTTGGGCCTACGGCCTTGGGTTTTTGGCGGGCACTAGTACCCAACGGTCTTCATACACATACAAAATTTGAACAAAATCAAGCCAGTGGTTTTTTTTCTAGCTCTGGTACAAAAATCGGCGGAATAATAATAATATTAAATCAAACGCTAACACTGGGGCTCTTCAGCCTTTCGGCTTGGTGACTCTTTAACAGGCTGTACTTCTTTGTCAGTTGGGCTCCAGTCAAACGGATAAGCGTTCTGCGTTCGTCCGGGCCCCGGGTTCCTGTCGCATTGCTGAGATAAAGTGCTTAACTTGTT